CCACTAGGACTCCAAGATCCCTTTCTGCTTCTGTGCCTCCAAGCAGGTCATTTCCTAGGCAGTGGGTATGCTGGACATTTTTCCTCCCTAGGTGCAGCACTTTGCATTTCTCCTTGTTGAACTGCATTCTGTTGTTTTCTGCCCATTTGTCCAACCTGTCCAGGTCTGCTTGTAGTTGTTCCCTGCCCTCCGACGTGTCCACTTCTCCCAATAGCTTTGTGTCATCCGCAAACTTGGACAGAGTACATTTCACTCCCTCGTCCAAGTCGCTGATGAAGACATTAAAGAGTATCGGTCCTAGGACTGAGCCCTGCAGGACCCCACTGCCCACACCCTTCCAGGTCGAAACCGACCCATCCACCACGACTCTCTGGGTGCGACCCTCCAGCCAGTTCGCCACCCACCGGACTGTGTAGTCATCCAAGTCACAGCCTCTTAACTTGTTCACCAGTATGGGGTGGGATACCGTATCGAAGGCCTTCCTTAAGTCTAAGTATACGACATCCACCCCTCCTCCTGTGTCCAGGCGTTTCATAACCTGGTCATAAAAAGAAACTAGATTAGTCAGGCACAATCTGCCTGCTACGAACCCGTGCTGGTTTCCCCTCAGCATTCCCCCTTCAGGCCTGTAATCATGAGTGGCTCTCCTCTGGACTCTCTCAAGCTTTTCCACATTCTTCCTGAAGTGGGGGGCCCAATACTGGACACAGTACTCCATCTGCGGTCTCACCAAGCTCGAGTAAAGTGAGAGGATGACTTCCCTGATTTCACTTGAGATGCATCAGTGGATGCACGCCAGAGTTTGGTTAGCTTTGCCAGCCACAGCATCACATTGGTGGCTCATATTCATCTTATGGCCAATCAAGACCCCCAAGTCCCTTTCGGCCGTGGTGCTAGCAACCATAGCACTGCTGAGCCTTTTAAGTATGCTGGGGGTTCTTCCTACGGAGGTGCAGAACCTTGTACTTCTCTGCATTGAAGGCCATCAGGTTTTGGCTGGCCCACCTTAAGAGTTTGTCCAAGTTGGCCTGTATCCCTAGCCTGTCCTGCAGTGTAACCGCCCTCCCCCATAATTTGGTATTGTCCGCGAACTTGCCCAGTTCACATCTGACTCCCGCATCCAGATCATTGATGAAGATGTTAAAGAGTTGTTTATTTTAAACAGTAAATCAGGCCTATAAACACTTTGCACCTGAACATACAGAATATATATTTAAAATATTTAATGACTCTGTTTACTAGACAGGCTCCTCTCCCCTCAATCAGTGATAATTTCTGGATCAAGAATCTATTAAAACAAAGATTGGTTCTTAAACATTAAAGTCTATTTACTAGCAAAGGACTAAATAATATATTCAGGTAACAGCACTGGTGAATGCTAGTCAATGAAAGTGATGAAAGATACTTGGAAAAACTACTGCAGAATTTTTCAAATACCTTTTTCATGAAAGATGGATTTTTTCCCCCTTCATTGTAAAGCACAAGTAATTGTATCATTTCACATTTTCCCATATTTCAGGTTCGTATTATTTGTTCTGCATCCATGCCTCTCCAAAGCTTGTTTCTGCAAGAATACCATGATGGTGGGCTGGAGGAAAGTAGGGTATTGATGGATGACTTGGGGTTGAGCCAGGTAAGTAATATTAACATCATCTTCTTTTGTTACAAAAGAATCTAATTGGTTTTGGTCTGATAATCATGGCAGCATTTTATGAAAAAGTCTAGTGAATGTTTAACTGATGATATACTGCTTTCCACTAGAATCTGTATGGCATATTTGTTGCTTTTATAACATAAACTTATGCTCTCCTACATATGCCGAAAGAGAAGATGACTAGGTGGAGAACCATTTTGCATAAATTTGTGGATCATTGCCTTTCTTACTATTCCAAGTGTTCACTCAGCTATGTACAAAAACAATGAGCTAAGTGTAACCCTGATGTAAGAGAAGGGTTACATTCAGGCATTAGCATAGCTCAGTATGTTTCACAATTGGAACTCTTTTTTTCCTACCTTTTTATAGATATGCAAGGCTACCTTATGAATCAGTATGCTGAATGCTATTCTGAATGCCCCTTGCTAGGTTTCTCTCATCTCAGAGAATGTAGCTGGGTATTTTAGTACAACTGCTAAGAGCTTTTTAAAACATTTTCGCTGAATGACTCCAGACAGAGCACTTCTCTACGATTGTTGCATTTTGGGGAGATTAAAGTGGATTAACTGTTTGGCTGTTTGCATCATAGTATAACCAAGGCAAGCAATATTGCCCCAAAAGATATTGGCTAAGTTCTGTTTGCTTAAGTTCATAGTACTCGATATTTATTTTTAATGTAAAATATTATCAGAGATTAAGATAAGCAAATAAACTTTAATAATAATACATTAAAAGAATCAAGAAAATGTAGTTGTATTCTTAGTTCAAATCAAAAGAAAAATGAAAATAGAAGGCTCCAACATCATTGTCTTACTTCTAAGTCTTTGTTATAATTCCTTGTTATAATTCGGCAGAGGATTTATTAGGCAAAGTATGGATTTTTATTTATTTATTTATGCATTTAGTATTAGCTCTCTAAAGCATGGAAAGATACAGTTTGGATAAGATGCTGTTCTGTTTCTCACAATTTTGTACTATTTTTTACATATCAATCTAGGATTCAGCTGAAGGACTTTCCATGTTTACAGGAGAGGAAGAAATCTTTGCATTTCAACGTACCATCTCACGGCTTACAGAAATGCAGACTGAGCAGTACTGGAAAGATGGAGACAGAAGCAAGAAACATTCAATAAAGTAATTCAAAGATGTACAAAACACCTCAAAACACAAAATATAGCATTCAAAGAGGAGAAACTGTAATAGAATTGGAAGGATTTTTTAACATAAATTAACTGATTATTATTGCACTTTATTCCTTGGACCACAATTTTTCCATCTCCAGTTTTTATGTTTAAGATCTAAGGGCTCAACAAGTTGGTTTTTTGTTTGTTTTTTTTTTAAAGCATCAACTTGTGGGGCTTTTATGTTTCAGCATCTTTCTCCAGTATAGTATGTACTTAGTATTCAAGAAGGTAAACTGGATCAAGATCCTTCTTAAGTCTGCAGAGCAAGCCAGGGCTCACAGTAGATATATGATGTATCCACACTCAGATGGTGCTTGTGACTCTGTGCACTAATTTTGTTATTTAGAAGACAATTTTGTTATTTGTTATTTAGAAGACAGTTTTCACAAAAGAAAGATCAAAGCCGCATAGATCTAATCTACTTGTACTTCATATGATGCTCCCTCTCACAAATTAGTCAGCCAGTGATGTTCTAGAGCTATGGGGTAATAAATCTTAATTCTAACATGTAACTAGCTCCTGAACTCCAGATATCTATTCTGCTGCAAGGATATACCTCAGTGATTCTGATCCTTTTCTCAGGTGTATGTACACACCATTTTTATCTGTGTTGTCTTGCTGTCTGAAAGCTAAAGGGCCTGATTCTGCGAAGGGAGCTCCAGTAGGAGTGAGGGTACTTAGCACCTCAGAAATTGGAGGCCCAGGTAAAGAAGTGTGCTAAGAGAAAATATATTAGGGACAGAATAAATATAATAGAAAAGTGGACACTCTCCTTTTTGGTTTTTTTTGACTGTCCACCTGAGCTCAAGAAAGAAGAGTGCTTCTCTGCTGTGATCTGGGTGCTTCTGCCAGAAGGCAGTAGTAGATCAGTTTTTCTAAGCCACTCATTCTTTGTAGCTTCAAGTTTGTAAGGTCTCTTCCATACTTCACTTTCCCTTAGCTTGGTTCTCATTTTTAAAGACAGTTTTGGTAACACAGTTATATTGATCAGTGGAGGATGTGGGCATAATCCCAATACTGTAATCGTGCCCTCTAAGCTTAGTTGCATTTTTAGGATGAGGTTTCCTTTAGTTTAAAAAAAACCACATTGAGTATTTTCAGCTGGATTTTAACTATGTTGTGCACTATCCATCCTGGCTGACACAATATTTCTGTCAGAAACCAGTTTAAAAATATGCTGCAAAATAATTTATTTGGACAGGAAAAATATATTACATACAGAACTTAACACGACTGTTTGCTTTATTTAATGGAAAAGATGTATAAGCCTCAAATTTTCATCTTACCATTGACTCTCCTGTGAAAAAGTTCTGTACCTCCTGTCACAGTATTGTTTTTCTTTCTCCATCTGTTACCAACCTAATGATACTCATATCGCAGCCACTGCCAGTTGTAGAATCAGTCCTTTGACTTTTTTATGGTAATGTTGATGATTAATACTTGGTGTATTAATCTACTAAGTCCTGTTTCTTCCTCTCTGTTTCCCCAGGAAAATAGTTATGTTGGCTACGCATGTTCTTCAAATACTTTTTAAAGTCTTCACACACTTAATTTATAAATGTAAGATATATTATTCCTATGGGGTGATTATAAGTGGTAAATTTTAATGTATGATATTTATTTAAAATATTTCTACCATAGGTGAATTTGCATGGTTTGCATTTAATTAGGAATTTCTAAAGAATAGACATATTCTCAAAGTAGATTTAATATATAATGTCCCAGGAGAGGAGCTGCAAATGTGATTGAGATGAGTGTTTTTATTTTTTAAGCTCATATATTCACTCAATTTTTTCAAAAATATTGAAGTCTTGGCTGATGTGCCTCATGAATCCTCAGGCTAAACATGACTTTTTTTTCTTTTTTTAACTCTGACAGTGCTGTCCTGCACTATATGGTGCAAAAGAAATAGAAGAGCCAAAATTTAAGAGCAACTGGGAGAGGGGTTTTGGGGCTCATGTGGAGAGATGCTGCTACTATATATAGGTTTCCATTGCTACCACAGTGTCTAGGCAAGAGAATTGAATTGTCTCTCATTGATAGGGTGTAACGAGTAATTAAATTTGTTAGTTCAACATGCCCACAATAGGTGTGTGTATATGTTCTCAGTTGTATCTCTGTTTTGCATCCCTACTAGTTTGGCTGAAACTTTTCAATGTTCTACTTCCTGGTTATCTATCTCAAATTGTCTAGCTTCCAAAAGCAGTAACCTCTGAGAAGTTTTAAAAGGCCTTCTAGGATAAATTGCTGAGTCAAAGAGAATTATGAGGGGAGATCAAGCCCCCATAAGTCGATGCCACTTCCCAAACATGTTCATAAAATAGAAGCCAGGATTATTGTTTGGCCCAGGCTCCTTACTCCACAAGAGTGTCATAGTCTGGAACTTTTGGGAAGCATTTGTAATAGTCATAGAAAAGTTGGTGGAGGACTTGTGGAGAGCCTGACACCAAGACAAGCAAGTCATAATTTTGTACTGTACTTATTGATGAACTAGCAAATTGCACATCAAGAATGATGGGCAGGTCAGGATGGAGCCCTGTATCTGGCAGTCCCCCGCCCTCTCTTCCCCACACTTCCCCTGCCAGGTTGGGTTCAGTCCCACTCCTCGCCTCTCCCACCCTCGGGTCAAGCCTGGGCCCACTCCTCCCCCCGTCCCCCGCCGGGTCGGGCGCAGGCCCAGGCCCTCTTCTCCCCCTCCCCCACCAGGGTCAGGGCCAAGCCCACTCCTCCCCTCCCCCTGAC